GTGTGGTTGCACATGGGTACTTGGGGCGTTTTATGTCAAATGTTCTAGACCACCAAAACAGTTGGTGTCCAGCTCGTAATTGTGGCATTATAATGGACTACAAACATTCCTGAACACACAAAATCAATGTATTTTTTAATTAGCCTTCTAGCGGTATTCGCAGTTTTTTTTTTTAAATATCAATTTAAAATACAAGAAACATAAAATGCACTTTTTTTTAAAGAAAGGCATTCTAAACTTTTTTCAATGCGCTCAATCGAAAGAGCAAGATTTTTTACGTTGGCATACCAATCTTTAGAATACTATTTTTTTATTTTCTTGAAATATAAAACGATAAACCGTACGGTGGTGCACAGTGGTCATTTAAAAAAATTTTTTTATTCAAAATCAAATATTTTCCGAATGGGAGTAGCCAGACTAATAACTATTTTTGGAGCTTGTAGGTAAGTGATCGTGAAATATATAAAAACTATTTAAAAGAGTGTCAGATAATTCTCTAACCTTCAAAATTTGATCAAATGCGTTTCTTTCAAACATAAAGGAAAACTAAATTCAAACATGCAAAATACATGCTAAGGGGCTTTTGAAGTTTAGATTATGGTATATTGACTTATCCTTTACTGGTATTTATGCATTTAAAAACTCATATTTGCCGAACATAACCTTAAAAAACGTACAATTGAAAATAATTCTAAACATTGTATTCTTCTGTCTGAAAATGGTATACCTCTGAGATCTACCTATTTATGGGGAGAATCACGTCAACTGTCCCAGCGCCGCGGTGGACGGCCCGCGCGGGCGTCAAACACGACGTTTTCAACTCGTCGTTTCGGTGTCAAAACTTTGATAAAAAAATTATCTAAAAACATATTCTTACGTATTTTTTCCTCAGCTTTCCAGTGCTGGCATCAGTTTTTCGAAAATTTGCTCCCATAACCTCGAAAAATGCACTTGTTTGAAAAACACGTTTTATCTCCATGATCTTCAACTTTTGGAATTTTTTTGATAGTCTAGATCGAAAGATGAGACATTTTTACGTAGATATCGACAATAAAAAAAGAGGGGTTTTTCGTTTTTATAACGTATTTAAACGACGAACGAGACGATGGGAGCCGCGGCGGCCGGGCCATGCGCGGCAGGAGCGCGCCGTCTGCTACCGTCTCTCTGACTGGATGTAAACAAATACACCTAACCGTGACGGTTTGCACTTCGCAACAAGTTTCGATTGATTAATTAAATGTTAGTATTTATTATTTTTATGACTTGAGGTTGTGCTATCGTAAGTCGAAGTTTTCGTAGGTTTTACTGCAAAGAAACGAAGGTTTTTTTAGTAGCAAATCTGACTACGAAGAAACTTCCTTGAGATTAAAAGACGAAATTTCCAGTGCGAAACTGATTCCAGGGACACTGAATTATCATGCGTTTATCCCCATTAAGGATAATAAATTAATGTTGAAGAAAACTTCTTTGAGTAACCAGTATGAAATTTTTCCGAAATTGAAAGAACGTAAAACAAGTGTCACTTCGATTACCATGCCTAAAATGAAAAAGAGAACGAAGTAAAACAAATTTGTTTTTATTTTTTACTTTATTTATGTAAATATCTACTGTTTAATCAATATTAATCATTATTTATTTCTTTATTATAAAATTGTTGTATATATGAATAAATTTTATCAAAACATTTATTATTTATCCATTGTAAGCCCTGGTTAACTAATTGTTGTTTACATCGCCACTACTACATTATATATTATATAGCCAAACAGACTCACCGTAGCAGACGACACACGGCGGACGCGCTGCTGCCGCGCGTGGCCCGGCCGCCGCGGCTCGCATCGTCTCGTTCGTCGTTTAAATACGTTATAAAAACGAAAAACCCCTCTTTTTTTATTGTCGATATCTACGTAAAAATGTCTCATCTTTCGATCTAGACTATCAAAAAAATTCCAAAAGTTGAAGATCATGGAGATAAAACGTGTTTTTCAAACAAGTGCATTTTTCGAGGTTATGGGAGCAAATTTTCGAAAAACTGATGCCACCACTGGAAAGCTGAGGAAAAAATACGTAAGAATATGTTTTTAGATAATTTTTTTATCAAAGTTTTGACACCGAAACGACGAGTTGAAAACGTCGTGTTTGACGCCTGCGCGGGCCATCCACCGCGGCGCTGGGACAGTTGACGTGATTCTCCCCATATGCAGACAAATGAATTGATAGTTAGAAAAATTTAATTAATTAAAAAAAGATTAAATAATTGTCAAGGTAAAAAGTACGACCTCATATTGCTACTGTATGATCTGTTATATAGGCAATAATTTTTTAACAAATTTAGTAATCCATATAAGGTAGTTTATCAAATGATCCATTTTATAATAAGAAAAAGAAAGTTTTTGTAAGTTTTATCCGTACTGCGCCAGTTAATTTCGTAACTGTTGCAGTTGTCAAATTTAGAAACGTAAATCTGATTGTCTTTCTACTAACGAATCTAAAAAAAAAATAGGAGAATGTAGCGATAAAAACCAACGAACCAGGGTTGCTGTTTTGAAACAAAAAAAATAAAAAATTTTAGGAACCAGTTTCGAAACAAGAAAGAATTCTTATACTTACACTTGCCCCGCACTTCTAGTCATGAAATGATTTGATGAGAGAGTTTTCTTGCACTGAATGAAAAACTCGTACAGCAAAAGAGCTCGTATCTAAACAAGGTATACTTGCATTTTTTATAAACAAAAAAAGGTAAAATGATCCTAAAATAAACTGAAATTGCAGTAAAAAATTTGTTTTAAAATGATTAAATAAGCTGAGTAATGCCTGGCATAAGAGAATACGTGTCTGTAAAGTCAGATGACAGCACCAGAAATAACATTAAAAAAGGATTGATTCTTGGCAATTTAATTGAAATGTATCAGCTTTTTAGAGATACAAATCTTTCTATAAGAATCGGCATGACAAAATTTACAATTGTAAGACCGTCGCATTGTGTCTTAACTGGAAGTAGTAGCTCAAATAAACTCTGCGTTTATGTAAACTATGAGAATGTAAAATTGATGCTTGCCGCTATCGATTTCGACGATTTGACAAACAATACGGAACTACATTTTTAAAATTATCTCGATTATTTGAAGTCAATAGTATGTATAGACAGTGGAGTGTGAAAGGGTGAACACAAGACATAAAAAACAATAAAAAGTTGATTTATAGCTTTTAAGATTATTTTATTTAAAAAAATCGTTGTGGTTATACATACCTTACTCGCTCAACGCTCTAGGCCAACTGACTCGCTGCGGCTAACTCTCCACTGTCGCAGTTCGCCCCTCGCTCTGTCTCTCTTTCTCTATGCGCCCCTTCTCTCACCGTTTTGCACATATACGTGCACAAGCACAACGTACTTCGAGCAGCCTCATGACCTGTCGACTTTCGATGGTTGGAAATACGATTGGAGCGTTGGTTTGCCAATCAAGTTATTTATCTCGCAAACTGGGAGAATTCTAAAAAACTCCATCGAGATTATTTTAGAGTTAAAATTATTGAAAAGTTACTCGCGTGGTTCAATCGCTTCCAGTATGTAATGCGCCAAACAATCGATGTTTTTCAAATGGTTGTTTGAAAAATTGTCCAAATATATCAAATTCACGCCAACATTCACTTGACTGTCTCGATACAAATAACATCTTGCATATCACTTAAGCTGTACGGTTTCCAAGTGATCGCTGTACCCTTGCTTCAAACAGCATTATCACACGCGAAGTTAAGGACTTGCTAGGTGAAGAATTAATTAAATTCAAAACACGTTTTTTTTTCCTAAACGAAAATTTATTGTTTTAAATGGGTTAAAAAAAAATTTTTGACAGAAGAAAATTTATAGTAAGTTTAATTTGGTGGAGAATTATCCGTTTGTTGTACTTAACTCTATTAAATCGTTGCATTGGAACAATAATATGGTTAACCGATGGCTTTTACCTGCGTGCTCTATTTTCAAACCAATGGTAAACTTAAACATCAAAGTGTTTCAATAATTTGACACAACCTCAGCTTTGATGCAGTTTCGATCTACGAGTATCAAAAAATTATCATCAAGTTTTTAAAATCGAAATTAAAAATCAAAGAAATATATTATTTATCGGATGGTATGGCTCAACACTTTAAAAATAAGAGTAGTTCTTAGTTCTTTGAAGTATTTTACTGTTAGGAGTCGTACAATGTAACAGCTTTAGAATTAGAATCTAGAATAGGAATGGCCGAAGCAATCTTGGGAACACTTAACTACCATGCAATTATTCCATTTAATGAGTATAAAATGCAATTTAAAAAATCTCTTTAAATTTAGAATATCAAAGATTTTCCCTCAGATAAAAGTTAGTCAAAAAAATAAGGATAAAATAATATCAAAGGTTGTAAGCTCGGAAAAACTTACGGTCAACAGTACAAACGAGCTTTAAAAGCGAAGAAATGTCAACAATGAAACGTAATTGTTTTGCTGTATGCCAAAATAAATATGTAAATGCATGAATACATGAAGATTTGTTTTAATTTAATATATGTATTATGAAAATTATTCGCAAGTAACCGTAATGACGCGTGCTGTGTCAGGTTAAGCTGTGCCATCGCAGCGTCTACTTCATTACTTTACATTTCAGGAAAAACAAAAAATAGTATTCTGAAAATTGCTACATTGACTTAAAAAATCCTTTTTGATTATATGCATCAAAAAGAGTATTAAAAATGTCCTTCTTTGATAAAATATGCATTTTATGGTATTTTCTTATGTTGAGTAATATTTTTTTTTTTACACTGAGAACACTATCGGACAGCTGAAAAGAACGATTCTGTTTTAACAAATTTTTTTAAGTCTATTATAATCGCGAGCTAGAAACCGAGTGTTTTGGCGGTCCAGTGCTGCGCTATGACATTTGACATAAAACGCCCTATTTATTCTTTCATACGTATATTCGTATGCATGCACAGTGATTCATCGTACATTTTTACTTTAATTACAGGTGGTTAAAGACTGGAGTCTTCATCAATTTCTCGATATGGGAAAAGAACAGCGTACTGCGATTCGGAAGGCTTTAAGTGAAGATGCAAGTAAGTTGCTTACTGAAGGTGATACATCGGATCCTCAGCTGCGTCGTTTGCGCCGTGAAATGGTTGAAGTCAACCGACTTTTTGATGATTTTGAAAAGCGTGCCTGTGCTGAAGAAGAGTCTCGACGTGCTGGCTGCATTTTTACTGAGCAGGCATCTTTGCTTCAGCAATCACTCGACGATGCTGAAAAACATTTAAATAATTTCATAGCAGCTCCCTTACCAAGTGACCTTAATGGCCTAAGTAGTCTTTTACTAAAGCATTCAGAGTATGAGGAGAATCTACACAAACTCTCCCCAGAACTTGATCGCATGCAGAAAATTTTTCGAGGAATTAGTCTTAAGACACCAAAAATGAAGAATAGACTTGATACTATCATGGAAAAGTGGAATACTATCTGGGCCTTGAGTAATATGTATATTAAACGACTAAAATTTTTAGAAGTTGTTCTCATTGGCATCGAAGAAAATTTATCAGCTATATCTGAGTTAGAAGTAAAGCTAGCTTCTTTTACCGAAATTCCTTCAGAATTTACGAAACTACAGAAAATTTTAGATGAATTAATCGCATTACATAATACTATTGCACAACAGCAGGTCCTCATTGACCAGTTGAATGATAATACTCGTATTGTTAAACGCTTTGTAGAAAAGTCGAGACAGAACCATCACGTACCTAGTTGTGATATAGAAAAATTAGACTCAGAAATCGATAAAATCAATACAAGATGGTCAAATTTAAGTAGGCAATCAACAGAAAAACTTCGTTGTGCTGAAATTTCCTATGGACTGGCGCAACAGCACGAGACACCTTCCAAAAATGAAACAGATTTAGTTTATCGAAATGACGATACGCTTGAAAACTTTCCTGCACTTAGTACCACAAAGGTCTGTTTAATTGACAATTTTTCATTAAAATGGCTATATAACCTTGGCATTACTGCTTCTCATTTTCAGAATTTCCTTAATAACGAAGTTGATCGTGATCCAGCAGTAGAGGCTCTGAATGATAGCAGTACACGTTTTCTACGTGAAGGCAAGGTAACTACTGTACATTTGATTTTTATATTTCCTCATGCTATTAATGCCCTTACATATACTGACGTATCTACACATAATAAACATATATTTATTTGATCCATTTCATATTCCCCTTACGACCCCTTGAAATCTCAAGTGATCCTGTACTGTCTGTTTCACTTTTATGCAGTGGAACATTTGCATGTTTTTTTTTTCATTTTTATTTACTATACGTTTATATTCTAGCTTTCACAGTTCAAGCTACTTTAATAGTTAGTTAAGCAAGCCCTCCTTTTCTCTAGAGATGCTAGATGATGCCAAAAACCACTTATCTAGGTTTTTAAACAAATAATGTATCTGACTGCACGATGTTTGTACCTCGGGGGGCTTCCTTGCTGAAAGAAGTAAACATCTGCCCAGCTAATCAGTAAATTCGTATCAGTTTTAAAAGGGAAGGTATAATAAGCTTGTATTATTGCTGCATAATGCAAATTTTAGTTTGTTGGATGGTCAAATTGATTCATCTGAGGGGATTTTGCACTAGAGGTCTGTACTAAAGACTTGATTATTTTGGAAAGAGGAGAGAAATTTCGAGAAAAGAAAATAAGGCAGTAAAGGTAGAGATTCAGGATACTTAAGGACATTTTTTAAGGTAGACGTAGAATATAATACAGTAAAAGACAATTTATTAAACACATTCCCTTATTTCAATCTCTCACTCCCTCAGACAACTAAATCATGGTTGATAACAGCTCTTATGTGTATTGTAGACTAGTAAAACTAGCAGTAACTTAAAAAAAATAAATTTTGTATACTACTTATAAAGAACATGATGCAAAACAGCTTAACAAGAGCGGTTTGTCTTACGATCGCCAGATGGCAAGTGCTCGTGTTTTTTAATATTACTTAATGTCAAGTAATCAGCACCTTCATTTAATTTAACGATTTTGCGTTAATGAGTAAAAGTTTACAGGCTGCTTAATCCTATGCAATCTATTGGCATTAAAATAGGTTAAATAGTAGCCTATGAAAACAAACTTTTCCTAATTTAATGTCTTTTTTTTTTTTTTTTTTTTTTTTTTTATACCGGGTTACCACAACAGCCTACTAGGCCTAGTTGCAGGGGCCACCCACTCACCACCTATGTGTGGGGGTGTATTGCCACACCCATCTCTAAACCTTTTTCCTCGCCTCCTACCTGAATCCATGGGCACAGTGTGAGTATCTCCGGTGGAACACCTTGCCAGTTAAGCTGACACTCTCTGCACCGATGGTGCATCGGGTCCACTCACCACTGTGTAGCCTTTCCCCGGAGAAGACTCCATTATTCCAGGACGTCCACTCCTCGCCGGTTAAGCCGGCGCTCTCTGCCGAAGCATCGGATCCAGGCTAATTAGCATCCCCGGAGAAGCCCCGTTGTTTCAGGGGCCACTCCTCGCCGGTAAGGCCAGCGATCCCTGCCCGATGCCTGGCATCGGGTCCGCTAATCCCTACCTATAGCCCTAACACTGTTTCGCATTAACCCAGGCCCGAAGACCTGTGGGGCAAGGAAAAAACCCTGGAATTACTCTGAAGGAAAATTCCACGGAAAAACCCGCCCCGAAACAGCCGGGGTGTCATAGGAACTTTTCCCGATGAAAACAGTTTTTGAAAAAAATCTGCATTCACCCGGAATCGAACCCACGACCCCTAGAACTGCGTTGTATCAGTAACAAGCACACTTACCACTGAGCCAACGCCGCTCCAATTTAATGTCCTTTGTAATGCGATTCAAAGTGTCATCATAAGTTTTTAACAACCATTTGGCTTTGAAACTTACTAACATCAAACATAAATATAAGGTTTAAAATACTACTTGTTGAACCGTGTCTTTTATTTTTGGAAAAGCGTCCAAAAGGCCTTTCCAAACTAAGAAAAGAAGGCTGTGCTTGGATTCTCATTCTTTAAATTCTTATTTCTTAGTTTGATTGTTTAAAAAAAAACGTTTTTACGAGGCTTAAATTCATGACCTCTTGCACCTCAGCTAAAAATGAGATACACTTAGCCACGAGCTGTGTCTGCGAAGAAAATGCCTTATACCTCTATTATATTGTGATTCAAACCTATTTTTACTTAAAATATTTATTCCAATTTGTTGATGCATTCGCTTCGAAATATTTTATTTGTTATAAACATTAATAAATTATTTACACAATTAAATAATTTTTTTTTAACTGTAAAGAAACATTTTTAAGTAGCAGCTGTTTTATGTCTTAATAAATATTTATTTAATTCCTATTGAATTTTTGAATTTTTACTTTAAAAACAAATGAAGTAATAACTAGATTTACAATTTTCTTAGTTTTTGAGATTTTGTCGAATAGTTTTATACATGTTTTTTTTCCTTAATAGCTTGTTTTACTGAGTTCTATGAATACAGTCATTGATTTTTAGTATACCTCATTCTTTTACTATTTTGTCATTTATGTCTAAGATAATTTTTTGTGTTAAAAATGTTGATTCCAATTAGCGAAGAAAAGTCCAGAGAGGTAAGGGAAGTGTAAATATGCAGTAACGCTGGAAATTTTCTTATTGATATACCGATAGCCATGTTTTTACTTATACTAGACTCTTTTATTGATATTTTATTGAAAAACTTTTTTAAAGATCCATTTAAGTGTTAAATATGTTTATATGATACATATCTATCATACAAAAAAAAATTAGAAGATTCAGTTAGGATTTTTTTTTGATTAAACACACTAAAAATTTTACAAATAAACGATGTGCAATTTTTTTGTGTAATATTTTTATAGCATATTAAAAAAACGATCCGTGTTTTCATAATATCGGTCTAAAAATCTGTGTGGACAGCAGGGCAGGGAAGGGACAGGACTGCAAGACGGTGTGAAGATGCGAATGAGGGTGTGCACGAGTGTTTGTGTGTGTGACGTGGCCAGGATCGCGTTAGGGCAGCGACCCCTCCCGGTCTCAGGACCCCTAACAGGCGCTGGCGGTTTCCGCAGTGAGGCGGAACTGCTGTATCGCCGTCAAGGAGTTAATTTGTAAAATCGTGCTAAGAGTTTTATTAAACAATTTCCTTAAGACTAAATGTGATTGTGCCCCCCCTTTGTTTATTACTTCCCTCCTCAGACAGAGAGAAATCCCGTGCAAATCCCCCTTTTTTATTACAGGTGCAGAAATCCAGAGGACGAGGGACAACAAGGAGACGGACGAGAAGTGTAACGTCCGCGGCTTCGGTACTACCCTCCTTTTTTTCCCTCTTTACAGGTACAGGAGTGCAGCATGACATTTGTAAAATGTAATTTAAAAAAATCTAATGACGAGGTTGTAAGATGTGCAGAATTGACGCAAACTGTTTTTATACACACACTTTTTTTTTTCTTTAGTTTACAATAATTAACTATAAATTTATTATCATTATGTTTGTAAGTGTGTGTTTATTAAGCGTTTACTCGTATACTGGCAAGCCTGGTAGCACGTCGTGCTATGGCTTTTTTTTGTACTTTTCTCACCTACGTCATGTATTCTTTATAAGTCTTTATTTATAAAGCATGAAAATATTTATTGAAACGACATTTAATCAACGTACATAATTATACTTATTCTATTAAAAATTATATTACATTCATACACAATATCGTATCATAGAAGGTATATTTGTATTTATTTATTGTCCGCTGTGGAATGTCAAAGAAAAATAACTTAATACTAGCGTACCCAAGGACACACCGTTTACTAGTTTTTTTAAATGCAAATGTCTTAAGCTTCTTAATTATTTTTGTCCTACACTGTAATGATCAATAGTGTGTCTTCTTGAGGGCTTTAACTTTTATGATTGTCTACTTTTGCGTTTTATCTATAAACGGTTTATGCAAATTAAAAAAAAATTTTCATAAAAAGATAATTATGCTTGCTTTATTTGTTCGTGAATTTAGAGTTATGTCTTTAAAAGTTATAGACCCTAGATACGTGACATTTATTTTCAATTTTACGATTTTTTCATGTATATTACATAAGTTTTATGTTTGATTTACAAGGAAAAATGTCTTTTGTAGATTTTTTATGAGATGCATTATTTTTTAACAATAATTTAACCCTAGCTTATTTTGTGATATTCAAACCTTGTGTAATTTTTCACACTCAAGTGACTTACTCAATTCAAAAATACCTTAAAACATTTTTTATTTATAAATAATTAAGTATATAATACTATTTTCACTTTTATGGTTACACTAA